TGATTCCAAAAACATTTTATCAAGCCGTCTATTTGCTATAATTGGAAATAAATCTACAGTGCCTCAAAAACATAATGCTATACAAGTATATTTAACCCATAAATAAAATATACTTTCAATAGTAAAATTATGAAAGACATGGCTTTACTCAATTCGTACATTTCAATACAGTGGATACTGAGTATACTACTTTACCGAATGTTCGGTGATTTAGCTGAATATTCGGCCGAATACGGATATTCGGTAAAGCTGCCGAATATGCCGAATACCGAATATGAAACGAATATTCGGCCCATCTCTACTAAAAAGAGTGTTTTTAGAGAATCTGACGATTTGAGCGTAACGTAAGGTAGGGTTACAAAGTTGCTAACTAAAAAACGTCTTGACATTCTCGTGCATGGTTGATGTTTTTTATCTTGAAGGAAATAATGCAAAAATAACACTTTTTGTGTTATCATTGCCGATTTCCACATGCCGAATACTAAATATCGTCTATGAAGATAAGAGTGTACAGCTGGAGTAAAGCATGTATCCCGCACCTCTTTCTCTCTCTTTCACTTTTTCTCTGTCTCTGACTCTCTCGTGCCATTCCCACACATTTACAGTCACGTTTTATGGTTATTGAGATAAAAAGGTTCATAAAAGAAATTATCAAAAAAAAAAAAGTTCTAGCAGCTAAGCTACCATAACTGGGACCTCAAGCTGAACCTTCTGTATAATAATCTGACACGCTTCCCGTCGTTTTAGGGCGCTACAGCACCCATGGTCAGGGGGTGGGGGGCTGAGGTGTTTGACGTTCCGATGTCATAGTTAGCCCGGCTACTTTCAGTTTTTGAATATAAATTTTTGGTCCGATCTATGCAGAATGAGCTTACAGTATCTTGAAGTCTTGCAGTGGTTTATCCAAACCTGTAGAACAGGCAGTAGTTCATGCCGGAACATCGTTGTAACTTTACAAGACGCAAGTTCGGCGTCACCTCCTTCCACTTGCACATTACATTAAGCTTAGAGGGACTCGAATCGTCGCCGACGGAGTTTTTTTTTTATAGGATAGGGTGACAAACGAACATACACTCCACCTGATGGTAAGTGGTTACTACGGCCCATAGACATCTACATCTATCCTCGATTACAAATCAAAATGCAGATGTGTTGTCACCCGTGAGGACTTACATGGAATGCCTCGTTTTCAGTAAAAAGGGTCTCCGGTTCTCTACACTCACCATATGAAACACAGCAGCATTAGGCTACTATTTGACGCTGGTATTCTGTGAGAGCGTGGTCCTTCTCCGGTCGAGCCGATCCATTCGTGCTACAACTTTACTACTAATATAACTGCAGCATGGCTCTACCACTGTCTGGAGTTATTTCTGATCGGCTTGATTCACTGGCACTGTGTTGAAATGTTGCATCCCCTTGCATATTCTATCGCGTCGATCATGGGGAGTGCTTACAGGAATAGTTTGGACTAATGACTTCTTTGACTAATGAATTCACGACTTTTTCTGCCAACAGGGCGGCGCGGCGTCACTTAAAATGAGGTGTAGTATTTGACAGATTTAATAGTGGGAAAGTTAATTTGTTCGAAAATTCTAAAGGTTAATGTTTCTTTCTGTATCATTAGTTATATTTTATATTAATTAGATTAAAAATAAATGAACCAAACCACAAATATTCATAAAAATAGAAAGATAAAAAAATTAAAGAACAAACCACAAAGGCATTGTTTTTTGTATTAATTTAATACTCCAGAAACTGATGAACTTTTATTTAAAACTAAATTATCAATTAATTTAATACATGGTAGAGCCATGCTGTAGTTATATTAGTAGTATAGATGTGGCACAACCCTCGAGTGGCTCAACCGGGGAAGAACCACGCTCTCACATAATACCAATGTGAAGTAGTAGCTTGATGCGGCTGTGTTTCGTATGGTGAGTGTACAGAACCAGAGACCCTTTTTACTGGAAACGAGGCATTTCATCTTAGCCCTCACGGGTGACAACGCATCTTCATTTTGAATCGTAATCGAGGATAGGTGTAGATGTTTATGGGTCACAGCAACCACTTACCATTAGGGGGACTGTGTGCTCGTTTGTCACTCTATCCTATAAAAAAATTGTATAACAAGAAACGAGCATACGGCTCACCTGATGGTAAGTGAATGCCGCCGCCCGTAAACAACTTACCAGGGGAATTGCAGATGCGTTGCTGGCCGAAAAAGGAATAGACTTTTTTCTTGAAGGTCGCTAAGTCGTATCGGTCCGGAAATATCTCTGGTAGCAGTTGATTCCACAAGGAAGTTGTGCGAGGAAGAAAACTTCTTTTAAATCACATAGCGGTGGACCGCCAGTCATCCAGATGGTATGGATGATATCACCAGTTTTGTCGCGATGTGCGATGGTGAAATTGTGCGGCTGGAATTAGTCCGAACAATTCCTCAGAGCACTCCCCGTGGTTGATTCGATAAAAAACAAAGAGATGAGAAGCTCGGTCGCCGACGATTCGAACTGCTCTGCGCTGGATGCGATCGAATGGAAGGAGCTGGCACTGGGGAGTCCCAGCCCAGAGATTGGAACAGTATTCTATGTGCGGCCGAACCTGCGCCTTGTGAAGTTGCAGGCACGCGAAGTTTTTTAGAGGCGAATTTGACCTTTTCTTCAAAGTGACCACGAAACTGCACGTCACTCGATATATCGACGCCGAGGATTCTGATACTGGCTGAGGCAACAAGGTGAGTGCCTTGAAATTGAGGAGATACGACGAAGGGGTTCTTTTTAGCGGTAAACGCGCTAACTTGTGTCTTCTGGAGATTAAACTGATTTAGTTTAATTTTTGATTTGGATTTGGAGATTTAACTAGATTTAGTCGCCCCCTGTCCGAGATTTTGTCGACCTTCAAACATAAGTTTGTCCCGGTACTCGGCGGCACTACCAATGCTGCCGTCTGTATAGCCATGAATGCGGTAACATTTTGCAATATTCAAGTTTGCAACATGTCATTGATATGCAGAAGAAACGGCGTTGTGGAACACCAACGTTAATGGACTTGTAATGCAACAAAACTGGTGATCCAATTGCACAATTTATCGGGAAGCCCATAGTTAGGAAACTTCGTAAGAAGCGCTTAACTCGATCGAAGGCCTTCGCTATGTCCAAACTAACGGTCAACGCCTCCCTCTTGGACTCCACAGTCTCCGCCCATTTATGAGTTAGGTAACCCAGAAGATCACTAGCCGAGCGACCGCGACGGAAACCGTACTGGCGGTCACTAATCAGCTGGTGATCCTCAAGGTCTCGCATGAGCTGGCTGTTAATAATGGATTCTATTATTTTACAGAACAAGGAGGTGATGGCGATAGGTCTATAGTTGGACGGATCAGAGCGGTTACCTTTTTAGGGATCGGGTGCACGAAGGCTGTCTTCCATGATTTCGGGACTAGGCCTAGAGAGTAAGTGTACCGGAAAAGACGCGTTAAAACCGGAGCCACAAGACGTGTGCTCCGAAGTTAGCTAGGGGGGACGCCATTAGGCCCACTCGACTTGTTGAAGTCCACGGAGAGGAGTGCTCTGCGCACCGAGCGTTGGGTCAACAGCACATCCTGCATGGAGTACTCACACTGCGGGTTGGTCGGCGGTGTGTTCCCCCGTCATCAAGAGTCGAGTTGGACCCAAAGAGAGTCCTGTAGATCGGCTTTGTCATTTGTGGCATGTGCCAGTGAGTCGTCCTCCCCGTGCAGAGATGGGAGAGATGGCTGGCAGAAGTTCCCTTGGACAGTCTCTACCAGGATGCACGTGTTCCCGAAGGAAGACGAACTAGTTTCTCGCCAATTCTGCCGATGTGCCTTGACTTTGCCTTGACAATGACGCTTTTGAAGGACTTGGAAGCAGAATTATAATTCTTTTTAAGAGCGTTGATATTTCCATCTCGAGACGTTGATGCGCGAGCTCAGACCTGGTAGCACTCATACTTATGGCGTAATGCAGTTTTACAGGAGCGACCAAACCAAGGCTGGGTTCTGCCACCGATAGGTACCACAGATGATCCAATAAAAAACTCCATTCCCTGTAGCATCACATCAGTGACAGAATCAGCAACAACGCTGGGATCATCCGGCGAGAAGCAAGCCCGCCTCCAAGGGTAGGATGCAAAAAAGATCTTATTCCATCCCAATCAGCTGACCATAATGCCAAACACGGCAGCAACCTGTAGTAGGCAAGTGTAGTACGCGGAGCGTGAGTGGCACCGTACTCCAGATCAGACAATGGTCCGAGGAGCCAAGAGGGGCATCAACTGAGACCTGATATCCATCTGGATGAGAGGTCAGCAGAAGGTCCAACAGGGAAGGTATATGATCTTCCTCATCTGGGATCCGCGTAGGCGAGTTAACAGTTGTGTCAAGACCATATGCCAAAGCAAAGTCATAAACAGATCTACCCGCATGATCGGTTAAACAAGAACTAAGCCATTCAGCATGGTGGGCGTTAAAATCACCAAGTATCACAATCTCTGCGGATGGGACCTGTTGTAGCACGGAGTCTGCAGCCATCTGGATGTGGTCGATAAGTCGGTCTGTGTCGGGATTACGCGGGGATGTTCGTCGCTGTCTACACGCAGCCATAAGATGGACAGGTCCATACTTTCACGGCTGCCGAGGCGTTGAAAACAGATGTCCTCTTTGACGTACACGCAAACTTCAGCCCGGGGCACAAAGGAGTGTTCTAATTTGTACCCCGGGTAGAGTGTGCTGTAGCTGTAGTAGTGTGCGGTATGTAGTGGTGCTGGGATTGGTGGTGACGGGATTAGTGCACCCAATTGAGGGAGAGCGGGAGGTGCTCTTCAAACTAGGGAGGACACATCATTTTGTTTAATTTAGCAGATGGTTGCAAAGGACTTTATTGGTGTATCGAAAGTGTCAGCCAGCCGAATTGTGCATCATGTGTCTCGGGCTATAGCTGAATTATACCCTCAATATGTGAAGATATTAAGCAATACCCAAAATGTCTTTTATGAAATCGCAGGATTTCCAAGAATTCTTGGCGCAATTGACTGCACACATGTTCCCATACAGTCACCTGGTTAGTATTACCAAATAAATAAATATTTATAATAAGTAGATCTAGGCAGAAGCAGAAGCTTTGTCGAAGGTCATCTAGTGATCTGAAACTCAATCCTAGAACTTAATCCAAGTATGGCCAGAATTAGATCACAAACCTACATACAATTCTTTATTATAATATTAGTAAGTATAGATTCATTCATTTATATAGATTATGCCTAATAACGGAATCATAATCTTTACAGATTCAAATACGGGAGAAGAATTCAGAAATACATAGAAAAGGCATATTTTCAATTAATGTACAAAGAGTCTGTAATACAGAATTGTTATTTATGAATGTTGTTTCCCGTTGGCCTGGTTCTGCTCATGATGCTACTATATTTAACAATTCTATGCTAAAAAGTAAGTAGGTACTTAGGTATCTATAAGATTATTAAAAGGTCATCACATAAACATGACTAATATTTGTCATTTATTTTCAGTGCAATGTGAAGAGGGATCGTTTGGCAATAGATGGCTTATTGGGAACAGTGCATATCCCTGTACTTCATATCTTTTGACACCCCTGCTCAACCCTTCATCCGTCGCAGATAATCGTTACAATGAAGCACATATAAAGACTGGAAATACTATTGAAAGGTAAATATTAATATAAATTTATTGATATTTTATTTCAAAAATTTCATGAGTATAATGTAATATACTTTGAACTTTTCAGATGTTTTGGTGTGTGGAAAAGGCGCTTTCCTATACTCTCTCTGAAAATCCGTGTGGCTATGCAGACTACACAGGTCATTATTATTGCCACCTCTGTGTTACACAACATCTGCAGATTAAATAATATAAGGGATGTGGATCCAGAAGTTACAATGCCACATGAATCAGACAAGAACTAATTAATAATTATTTTAGTGTGTATATGTTTAATTATATCAGAATTTTAGTGTGTAAATAATGTTTAACAGTATTAGGATGAATTTGCTATGCTGAACTAATTAATAATGATTTAAGTGTGTAAATGTTTAATTATATCAGAATTTTAGTGTGTAAATAATGTTTAACAATATTAGGATGAATTTGATATACTGAACTAATTAATAATGATTTAAGTGTGTAAATGTTTAATTATATCAGAATTTTAGTGTGTAAATAATGTTTAACAATATTAGGATGAATTTGCTATGCTGAACTAATTAATAATTATTTAAGTGTGTAAATGTTTAATTATATCAGAATTTTAGTGTGTAAATAATGTTTAACAATATTAGAATTTTAAAGTGTAAATAATGTTAATTTGTACTAGAGTAAATGTGCTTTATTTCAATAATTATTTTATTACAAAAATGTTAATAAAAATCATTGTACAAAATAGATTTTACTTTAGAGTAAACCTCACAAAAACATTACACAAGTTATTAAAGAACACACCTTATTGTCACTATTTACACAATCATAAGCATTGGCACTATATTAATCACAGGTCACTCATTTAATTTTTCCATTTCTAACTGTAGTTTTATTTTTTCAAGTTTAACTACTTCAGTTTTGGCTTCATAATAAGCAGCCATGGCTAACTCCTTTCTTATCTGAGCCCGTTGTAGTCCTTCAGAGGGCTTTTGACGTTTCTTTACTGTGAAAATAAAAAACATAGTTAAATTCTCATATTTTTCACTCTCCTAGTTTGATAGATTTGATGACTGATGACCACAGAGATCAGGCACAGGAGACAGCATAAAAAAACATATTGGTAACTACTACGAAGGCTGCACTAAAAGTATCGGGAATGGAATATTTCCACTGTTCCTGTCATATTAAAATATTTTTAATTGAAAACTCCTTGGTTTTAAAAATCGAATACCATTTATTTATTTAAAAAAAGATTCTCGGTCTTGTCACAAGGTTTTGTCAAACTTGTTTAGTCGTTGAGAAAATGGAATTGACTCGAGAAAATTCAAGAGCGATGAAATATTATGGCTTTCGAAGTGGTTTAACACAAAAACAGTGTGTTGGCCGGATGATTTCTGCATTTGGTGACGAAGCCCCCATTCAAAACCACAATTTATCGCTGGTTTGCTGAATTTCAACGTGGACGTGTCAAGCTCAGTGATGATCCCCGTCAAGGTCGTCCAAAAACTGCAGTCACCCAAGAAAACGTTGATGCTGTGCGGAAGCTGATTGAGGAAGATCGACATGTGACATACTGCGAAATTCAGGCAACTAGAATTGGCATGAGTCAAATACAAATAATCTTGCATGAACAATTAGGTGTAAAAAAGTTGTTTTCCCGATGGATACCGCATTCGCTCTGTGAAGAGCAAAAAGCGGCTCGCGTTACTTGGTGCGTCAGAACTCTCGAAAGATTCAACACAAGATCCTCAAATGCTGTATACAACATCGTATCAGGTGACGAATCCTGGTTATATGCGTACGAACCCGAAACAATAAACCAGTCACGAGTTTGGGTGTTCGAAAATGAGTTAAAGCCAACAAAAATTGTTCGTTCACGGAGTGTTGCAAAAAAAATGGTGGCCACGTTTGTCTCCAAAACCGGCCATGTTACGACTATTCCTCTTGAGGGACAAAGAACGGTTAATGCAGAATGGTATGCTAGCATTTATTTGCCACAGGTCGTTTCTGAACTCCGTAAAGAGAACTGCAACCGCCGCATTCATCCTCCATCACGACAATGCGAGTTCTCACACCGCACACAGAACAAAAGAGTTTTTAGAGCAAGAAAACATAGAATTATTAGACCATCCGCCGTACAGCCCCGACCTAAGCCCTAATGATTTCTATACTTTTCCTAATATAAAGAATAAATTGTGTGGACAGAGATTTTCATCACCTGAAGAAGCTGTGGACGCCTACAAAAAGGCCATTTTGGAGAACCCAACTTCCGAATGGAATGGTTGCTTCAATGATTGGTTCCATCGTATGGAAAAATGTGTCAGTAGGGATGTACATTTTTCCACCACCGGTCTGCAAACAAAAATGTTTAAATAGAAATAATACATATTAGTGTTCTAAGATGATTAGGTATATCTCACAAAATGTTACGAAATATTTGATGTATGTACTTATTATAAACCTTTAAATTATTTTGTCTTATCAATGCATTGCGTTTCCTTGCCGACTTCTTTAAGTTTTCCCACTTTAGCGTGTGCTCAGGACGCCGTAATTCTCCCGCCATCGCACTAAACTCCTGCGCTATGGATTTCCAAGCCTCTTGTAGTAGTAGTAGTTGTAGCATTGGTTGCCTTGGTAGTAATTACTTTTTGATTGGAAATCAAGTCAATCAGGAAGAGTATTTCGTCCTTTCCAAGGGCCCTGGCCTTCATCTGAAACAAAATTTTATAGATGCCTTACACTTGGCGCGGATTTTAGACATAGATGCAAGCTTTGTTTGTTACATTTCTATAAATGTAAATAACACGGCAAAGAAATCACAATACTTACAGTATTTTGTTGAGCCATATTAATGCTTATCGCTGATAAAATTCTGCTACACATAAACAAAATTAAAAGCTTCTTGATGTTTGATGTGATGTTTAATAAAAACACAAACTGTCAACGTCTAGTCAGGCCAGTGCCAATGGGTGCGTTTGGCAGAAAAAAGCGTAAGCAAAATGGCGAAATTAAACAGTTTTCGGCCAGGACACGTTTGCTAACTTCAGTAGCGCTGACACAATCCGCCATTTTGCTTATTTAATTTGTTTGTTTTTAAGTAGAGTTTATAAGTTGTTTTGTGCAATATTAGTTTTAAGTAATATAATGACATGAATAGAGACATATACATGTTATTAAAAATTCATGATTGGTAAGTTTTTAATATGAATACTTTACAAACATATATTTAAATTAGGTTAGGTTCCTCGGTTAAAACTAACTTCGTGTCCTAGAGGAAAATAGCTACTTACGATTTGACAGCGCTTACCGCTTACGATCGCCATTTTGCTTACAAGCGCTTTTTTCTGCCAAACGCACCCAATGTGTCAATGCCGAACGCCAAGCGTTGCGTTTCGTTGCTTCATTTTTTAAGATAAAAGTTTGTCATTATTTGATGCTAGCCTTAATTTAGAAATGTGTATGATGAATAATTACCAATATTATATTAAAACTAATAACTACAATAATTTAAAACATTTTATAATAATCATAATATTTTAAATAAATCATATTTTATTGCAAAACGTGACGCAATTTACATCGAAGGAAAAACAAAACGCTTAGGAGGGACGCGTTAACCAAAGTTATCATGAGCTATCTATCTTTTACCTCGGGGAAGCTATCGAACATTACGTTATTGAGACGACAGTAACAGATAGTTTAAACTTAATTGTTTACCTTCGATAGCTATCTACTTATAACTGATTGTATGAAATTGAGACCGGCCGTTAAGTATAATATCGTAATATGAATATGTGTATCACTTATACTTCATATACAAAACTATGCAATCGTATTATCACAACTGGTCTTAAGTGTACCATTCTATAGTTTCGGTCCTTCGAGCCAACAGTGCAAGATATTTAATTTATTATTACTATTACGCCACAGTCGTACGTGCAAACGAGTGACTCCTTCAGTTTACCAGAGTTCGATGTAGAGCTTCTGCGATAGGATAAGAGGTAGGCTTGGACTATCGGAGAGAACGAAACAGTCAACACACCCAAAACCGAAAAGCAATAATTTGCGTTGTTGAACAAATGTTGGCCCTGGCTGAGATTCGAACTTAAGATTGATTTTAGTTTAGACGAAACTACGCGGTCTTTAAATTATAATGTCCTCCAGAACGAATTTCGGCCACGGCGGCCTGTCTCAACGGAGGCTAGCCATCGGCGCAGGACAGGATTATAGTGCCCAAGTGTATGCGCAAGCACAGGTGCACTCTCTATTCCCTCATTCTCGTAATCTGATGGGACGGTAAACCAACACGACCGGGAGAGAGATCAGGCGCAGGGCCAACGGCTTTACGTGCTTTCCGAGGCACGGGGGTGAGACACCGCCAACTTCCTGACTCCGGGCAGCTACTGAAAATTTCTTGACAGAAAAACTTAATAATTGATTTTTTGGCCCGACCCGGGAACCCAGGACCTCATGATCAGCAGTCGCACTACTACAACCACTAGACCAACGAGGCGGTCAGTCTTTAAATTACATGCTTATTAAAACGACGATGTTGTAAAAATATCACTATTTATTCAAAATAGGTTTATTATATTAAATTTACACATTGGCAGCATTGGAATCAAGAATTGGTTACTCAAAACAACAAGGGAAACAAAATTTAAGCACTAAACAAGTGAAATATCACTATTTAAAGGAAGGAGTGTTTGTTGGACTTGAGTTCATACAAAATTTTAAAAACCCATAAAATGTAAAAATTATAAACTAAGTTTAGAAAAACGATAGGTTATATATTTTCAGTATACATAAACGTATAATTTAGGCTATTACAAAATTTTACTAGCCTAGTTAGATACAAAAAGATATTTTTTACCAATGTTTTTTTTCATATAGGACAAGCAAATCCTTAAGAATTAATAAAATTTTATTGATTAGCATTTATTGTTTAACAGTTCTCTCTTATTATTATTTTTCTGATGGAAAGACTGCGCATTACTGTACGACCTTTACAATGCTATGAGTTTTTTGTTACATTGTAAACCAATACAGCAAATATTTGTAGTAATCCTTAAAGTATTTAAGCATTGCAATCATGTTGATGTGTATTCAAAGTTAATTAATATTAAATTAAATCTATGGAAATAAATATCTTGACAGAATTTCCAAGCAACTAAAAATATCAATTTTATAACATTATTTACAAATACCTGTAATGTAATATCACTGGCACTGGGCCAGCCAGTCCCAAAGTAGATATTTGTAAAAATGCTTTACTAAGATATTATGTAAAAATACATATAAGTACTTTGAACACTGTAAAATTCGAAATTTATGTAATTGTTGTAAAGAAAATATTGCCCGTTTAACAGTATTAACTAATGCCTCCATGTAATTTATTATATACTCCATGTAACATATTACCTATGTGAATTAACTGATATAATATTTTTATACATTATTTTACATCAGTCATTATAAATTATATCTTTATATATTAATTAATATTGTATAACTCGACTTAATCATGTATTTTTCCAAGGACAGTTTGAAAAAAAAAAAGAAAATGCTTACTTTATAATAGTTTATATTATTTTACATGCCATATTCTGAAAGCTTAAATCTTAAAACGACAGGGGCACTTGTGCAAGGCAAAATGGCTAGTTCTGTGACCACGGCGGTCACGAGGCTGGGCGGCGTAACGTCGTAAGTTAGGTTTAATAACGTCAGGTTAGGGTTCGATCGCCAGTCCTTCAAAGGCGAATTCTCGTCAGTTTTGTCGATCAAGTCATCTGGGTCACCTAAAAGAATTGTTACATGATGTATTAACGTTAGAATTTAGAATGGGTAATATTGACTACCTAACCATTATTATAGTTGATTCGAAATTTAGTGGTATTATTGTAGTGAAAAAGGAGTTGATAAACCACCCGATAGTAAGTGGTTGCTATAGTTTGCAACTAACTTCAAACAAAGCTGTCCACAGATATGTCGTCACCAGTGAGGACTTAGGTTGGGAATGCCTCACAGCCCTTAATTATGATTCAAAGCAGAACAAAATATAGTGACTGTGACGCTGCTTGGCGGTTGATCTAGGAAGAAGGGTTATACGAAGCCAGACAGAAAGTCATATTTTTTTTTGTATCCTTTATTTACAACAATCTGTCGCCATTGGGGGACATTTAGCAGTATGTTTGTTGGTGCTATCGCTGGCGTGCTCGGTACGTGACCTGTGTCACATCCTCATTATTAAACAGTAACTGGGTTTACTGTGTTTGTGTTTGTATTAAATCTTGTGGTATCTTGCGCTTTAAGCGTCGCGCTTTGTTGTGGTTTGCCATGAGTGGCCGGGCCAGAATATTTGGATGACGTTCGATGCGCTCTTTATAAGTTCGAGTATGGCATAGGATTTCCTGTTTCACAGTAGGCAGGCGTAGATCATGATGTAGTAATTCGTTGGGCACATACCAGGGGGCATTGGTAATCATGCGGAGTGCTTTATTTTGAAACCTTTGTAAGATTTCGACGTTTGAATGGGATACAGTACCCCACAGTTGATTTCCATACGTCCAGATAGGTTTCAGTATTGCCTTGTACAGAAGTATTTTGTTTTCTAGAGACAACTGAGACTTTCGTCCTATGAGCCAGTAGAGTTTTCGCGTTTGAATACCGAGTTGCTTTCTCTTAGTGAATATATGTTTTTGCCAGGTAAGTCTTTTGTCCAAGTACAATCCAAGGTATCTCACATGATCTGCCTGTGGAACTACAATGTTGTTAAGTGTGACTGGGGGGCAAGAGCCTCTTCTTAGAGTGAACGTTACGTTCACTGATTTGGTTTCATTTGCTTTTATCCGCCACTTTTTGAGCCAGTGGGATATGTCATTTAGCCCTTTTCGAAGTATTTGTGAGGCTATTTTTGGGTCGCTATGAGTAGCCAGTATAGCGGTGTCGTCAGCAAAGGTTCCAGTGATTAATGATTCAGATGTCGGCAGGTCCGCAGTGAAAAGTAAGTAGAGTATGAGACCCAGTACGCTGCCCTGCGGGACTCCTGCTTTTATAGGGCAGAGATCTGACAGAGCTTCCCCTTGTTGTACTATGAAATGGCGCTGCTGGAGAAATGATTTTAATATCCCGTAAAGGTGATCTGGTAGTGCATTTTTCAATTTAAATAACAATCCCTCATGCCACACGCGGTCAAACGCTTGAGATATGTCCAGGAACGCACTGGCGCAGTAAGCTTTACCTTCCAGCGACTCCATGATGTGTTTTGTTAGCCTGTGCACTTGGTCGATAGTGGCTGGCATGCTTACTGCGGAATCCAAACAAGTGGTCAGGGATTAGCTCCTTCTCTTTGAGTATAAGCAGTAGGGATTCATATATTTTGGATGGGATGGGTAGCAGACTTATGGGCATGTACGATTTTGTTTCTTCAGGTTGTTTCTCTGGCTTTAGCAGCATTACAATTTGTGCGACCTTCCACCCCAGGGGAAAAAAACTGCAGTCTGGTCATGGCATTAAATAGTGAAGTAAGGAAAGTTATGCCAGATTCAGTTAGTTCTTGTAATATTCGGTTTGTAATGAGGTCGTATCCTGGAGCCTTTTTTGAGTCTGATTTTCTAATTATTCGAGAAACTTCTGTTTTTGTAAATTTAAGAGGCATTTCCTGCGTATCTTTTGGGTTATTTGAGTGGTTAGTAATTTCTGCTGCATCTTCTGGTGAGCCGTAATATCGGTGAGGGGTAAAGACGTTGGAGAGGTGTTCTGAGAAGGCCTTTCTCCTGGTCTATCCGCGCCCAGGTACCATCTGGTTTTCTTATAGGAGGAGAGGCGTTGACAGGCAGTTTGTCTTTTGGTGGCTTTCCACAGGCCGGTGAGGTAATTATGAAATCCGTCATTACGATCTTTCTCTAGGATGTGTTTTAGCTGTCTGTTGGCGTGATTGAGTTGTTTTTTCGCCACAGGGTCTCTGGTTGTTTGCCAGCGTTTTCGTATCCTACTTTTTTTGATTATTTTATCCAATATGTGTTACGGTACGAGGGTATCCAGGTTTCTAGATGGTAGTGGTGGGGTCGATGACCAAGCTGCATCTTGCACACTCTTGTTGAAGTATAGCACCGCTTCCGTTATTTCGTCTTCCGATTTTAGGCTAACTGATTCTTGGAATGCTTTGTCTGTGAGCTCACGAAATAGAGACCATTTAGTTATATTGTTATGCAGAACACATTTTCTGGCGCGTTCTTGGGGGGTGGTATGTAGTTCTACTATGATTGGAGAGTGGTCTGAAGATAAGTCTCAGCAACTCTGGCACGATTATGTTCTTTTCCTTTGCTGACACAAAAATCTATAACATCTGGGATTTTTCTTTTGTCTGTTGGCCAGTAAGTTGGTTGACCCGACGATACCACGTTCATATTTCTTTTTTGTATGCATTTAAGGAGTTCTCGCCCTCTGGGTAGAACAAGCATGGAACCCCAAAACGAATGCTTGGCATTATAATCGCCTCCTGCGATAAACCTGCCTCCAAGTGATTGATAGTAGTTACTGAACTCCGATTCCTTGATAGTGAATCTAGGTGTACAATAGAGGGCCGATATTTTAATATCACTAATCCAGTCTGTTATCACGACATTTGTTGCCTGGATGTAGTTTTTGCAGTAATGTTGTAGTACATGATGCCTGATGTTTAACCTGATAAAAACGGCCGATCCTCCGTGTGCTTTGTTATCTGGGTGGTCAGTATGGTACATGTTGTATCCTGGTAGGCTAAAGTGGCTTTTGGATGTGAAGTGGGTTTCTGAGATTAGTAAAACATCTATGCGGTGCATTTTAACGAATATTTTTAACTCTTCCGAGTGGTTTGACAAGCCATTAGCATTCCATACACACAATTTTAGTGCTGTGAATGTGATGGCATTTTTGAAATTAAATCGGTTAGCGTTTTGGTCATGATTAACATTTGATTCATCAAGGCAACAAGTGTCTCCTTAATAATTTGGAGCTCACTCGCATTTTGGTTTCCATCCTTAGTGTTCATTGTTTGTGTTGTAGGTTGTCCAGGGACTTCTTGTGTGGCTTGGGCATACGATTTTCCGTTATTTGTTGATTTGTCTGTAGGTTCTTGTTCCTTTCTAGTGTATCCAGAGTTTTTCCTATCTTTGGTGATTGGATGGGGATATCGGACTTAGCTGGATGGTTTCCTTCGCAGACGACACATTTAACCTCTTTTGATCTGTCTTTCCGTAAGCAAGCTGAAGTGTGGTGCGAACCTGCACATTTGACGCATCTGGGCTTTCTATTAAAGAACTTTTGTGTGTGGTTGTAATCTTGGCAATTAGTGCATTGGGGGATTACTCGCCTTGGTCTAGGTGCTTCAAATGATATGCGACAGTGTAGTAGATATTTGAGTGTACGTTATATATGTCTTTATTATTTTTGCGGGGCTCCAGTTCGATGTTCCACATTGGTAGCGGCTGTTTTGTTCTTGAGTTTTGGATGTTCCAGACATTTACTACTTTGTGGTGAAGCTCCTCAATAGCTATTTTTATATCCTCTTTGTCTGTAGATGGGTGTAGATGTTTTAGCACAACTCTAAAACTGCGGTCTTGTTTTGGTTGGTAACTATAAAATTCGGTATCTTTAGCCTTTAGTTCTTTATAAATGGTGGAGTATGATTCGGCTGATTTTGGTTGTATTTTAACTCTGTCACCTCGTAATACCTTGATTTCATAATCTCCTTTTGCTACGTCTTCTAATAGTTTCATCAAAGGTTGTATATTCTTGACTCCGTCAATAAATAGTGGAGACAGTCATATGACCTAGTTTTTAAGTTAAGTTTTTAAGTCTTATAAGGCATGTTAATTATAATTGGATAGTTGGTAATAATTAACAACATCATATAATGTGAATTTGCTACATTTAGTAAACGGTTGTAAGTGTAGTGTTAAGTTTTCAGTTAAATTATATTTTTAGTTTTTTTATATGATTAGGTGACGAAAACGTCGGTTAGCTTGCAGCTTGTGCGTCTTGTACGTGTATGTGTATGTGTGTGTACGTGTACGTGTGCGTGGGTGCGCGCGCGCGCGTGTGTGTGTGTGTGTGTGTGTGTGTGTGTGTGTCATGTATGTACCAGTATGTACGTGTATGGACGTACCGAGCTCGTTGTAGACGAAGGCGTCGGTCTGCACGCGCTCGGAGAACTTGTGCGTCTCGCAGGCCACTAGTACGGGCACGTTGCAGCTGCGCGCCACCAGCGCCACCTGCGCACTGCCCACGGCGCCCAGCACCGACCCGTTCATCAGCAGCGACCCAGCACCCAGGATCACCTTGTTCATCTGCGCGTTGCGGACACCACCAAGGTTATTTTAGTCAACCAAATCTAAGAAATAAATTTTGACAGCAGTCAGACTTATTGCACCAAGCATGCCAACTAATGCCAACCAAAAAATGGGAACGTATAATATTCGATTCTTAAAAAAATAGATATCGATTATTTAGAGTTGGTAATCATTTACAGTTTGGTTTGAATAATACCAGAATAAATTAAAAACGGATAATTTAAAACACAAGATTTATCATAATGATTTCTTATATTTACGCGAACACTACACATTGAAATAATACTAGTTTTTACGGAATTTATCGCGTATATTTAACTTTTTAATACCCGACGTTTCGAACGCTTTACAGCACTCATGGTCACGGGCGGGACTGAGATGTTCAACGTCCATATGTCATAGTTAACCGCGGTTACCATAGATTAAAATTTAACTTTGCTGCATAGATCGGAACAAAAGTTAAATTTTAATCTATGGTAACCGCGGTTAACTACGACATATGGACGTTGAACATCTCAGTCCCGCCCGTGACAATGAGTGCTGTAAAGCGTTCGAAACGTCGGGTATTAAAAAGTTAAATATACGCGATAAATTCCGTAAAAACTAGTATTATTTCAACAAGATTTATCAGTTTCTTCGTATTTGTTGTTACTGCTTATTTCTAGAGGCAAAGTTATAAAAATTTAAGATTGAAACTAGATTAAAAATAAGTTTATTCATCACTTTCAGTACAACTAGTTGTGCTTTCGTTGTCTTTAATTGTAATTATTATTTGATTTCCAATAATGGAGTCAAAATTAATGTATCTTTTAAAGTCATCCATAATCAATTTTTGTTTTTTGTACCACTTTTGCCCATTTGTCATCCTTTGTGACATGGGCACATGCTTCAACGAATATGGAAGAAACAGTCCAAAAAGTTAAAGCTACACGTTGTAATGAAATATAGATAACTTCATAATACTTCGGATTTACGTAAAAGGTTATTTTAAATCGTGTGAGTACGTTTGTGCAAAGTTATTGCGGAATGATTAATGTGAAACGTCGAAAGGTATTTCTTAGATTTGGTTGACCATAATAGTTTTTTGAGGTGCAGGGAAACTTCTTTAGGATAATTGTGATTAAAAACTCAATGAATAGTAAGTGACAAGCATGTATCGGAATTAGCCTGCGACGGAATGAGATAAAATACAGTATGCAGTTTCTATTATAAATTTATTTACATTTTAATTACAAAGGCGATTTAAAAAAAATCACGCTAATTAAGATTTGAGGGTAGCATGTAAATAAATGTATACTCATTCTATAGCTTGATTCTTTAATATTTAATCGTATGTCAAGTACCATTGTGGTAGGTTGCGTAATTATTTTTTGTTCGAGCGAATCAATCTGCTTTCGTCCCGGAAAATGGAAAAAGTGAAATAAGAGCAGTGATTAAATATTTCGTCAAAAAAATTACGTCAAGTGAAATCAAGGAAAACATAATATATAACTAGATAAGAATGTATTAGCCGAATCTGTGCCTTCGTTTTCCACAGTAAAAAAGTGGGCAGCTTTGTTCGAACAAGGCAAAGAAAGCGTCAGAAATCATCGATAAAATCCACAAAATCGTTTAAGAAGACCGAAGATTGAAAGTGCGTGATATTTCACGTGACAGTGACACTATAGAGAACTCAACTGAGCGGGTGTTTCATATTTTAACCCTACGAATTAAGAATGAAAAAGGTGTCAGCAAGATAGGTGCCGGGTTTGTTGACCGCCGAAAAGAACTCAATCGGTATAAAATCTCAAGAGAAAATCTGGCGTTGTTTTGATCGAATACTACTAGACGACTTTTAAGATTTATAATCCTTGGTGAAAACTTGGATTCACCACCATATTCCTGAGACAAAATAACATTCAAAACAGTAGAAACAATGCGTTTCTCCACCATCGAAGAAAACTAAGTCGCAAGAGTGGGTGGGAAGAGTAATAGCATCAACGTTTTGGGATTACAGGAAATTATTTTTATCGACTACCTTCCCATAGGACAGACTATAACAGGCCCATACTATGCTTACCTGTTAAATAAATTAGCACACAAAATTTGTAAAAAGCGGCCGGGATTGGCCAAAACGAAAACCCTTTTTCATCAGGATAACGCACCGATGCATAAGTCAATTGTTGCAATGGCTAAGCTCCATGATTGAGCCTGATTTCGCACCATCGGACTATTTTCTGTTCCCTCAATAGGAAAACACCTGACTGGAAGATAATTTTCCACAAACAAAGAAGTTGTAGGTGAGGCCGAGCGAGTTTTTGAAGAGTTGGAGGAATCGGCTTATAAGAGCGGCATAGAAGCGCTGAAGCATAGAATAAGCGTACTACTGTAGAGTAAGATGAGAAAATGTAGAAAAATAAAACATTCTTTATTTTCTTTGTTTTCATCGTCGAGCCGAGAACTTTAAAAACCGCTCTGTTACATAAACCCAATAATTAGCCTACTCCTGATACTTCGTCTCATTCTCTCGAAGTGTAAGTTTTCTGAACGTTTCACTTCTATCGCGTGTGAACTGCGCACAGATTTTTTTTAAATGTATCGTAAAATTTTTCAGCCAGCGACCAGGCTCTAAAGATCATGAAGCATGCGCATTATGAAGACCAAGCTTGTTTCTAATGCACAATCAGTGACCCGACCATCCTATTAGTTCATCTAGATAGATAACATCATCTAGTTTGTCTATCTAGACCTCATGAACTAACCAAACGTAAGTATCAATAGAAATCAATCAATGTGATATCCGAATGTTAGTAACATCAGCGCTTGTCCGTTTGCGATTATGTAGTGATGCGACAAGTTCAAAGGCTTGGATGGATCGGCATCAATTTATGTTTCAGAACAAATTCCTGGTTTTCAGTTATGACCATTGATCGACCTATTGGTCAAATAACACATACTAGCGTCCTGACCATGTCAATGTTGTAAATTGTTTGCAAAAAGTGAAGTGCGGTGCTCACGCGAAACACGAGAAAGCTGATGGCGGTGATGTCAGCGTAGGTGGCACTGGCGAATATACTATACGTGAGAGTCAATAAGCAAGGTAGAATAAAGTAAGGTACTTAAGTGTGAAATTAGATAAATGAGTTAAAAGAAAAAAGTGCGTTACTTACATGTGCCAAGAGATATATGAGTAAAAATTTCTCACGTGGGGCATAAGATGCAAGAGTAAAGAATAAAGTGTGGTACTCACGTGAGGCAAGAGATTCATAAGTAAAGAATAAAGCGCAGTGCTCACGTGCGGCAAAAGGATGTTGACGGCGGTGATGTCGACGTATGTGGCACTAGAGAAAGTTTAGTTAACGAATAAAGAAAAAGGTGCGTTACTCACGTGCGGCATGAGAAAGCTGACGACGGTGATGTCGACGTATGTGGCACTAGAGAACGTTTAGTTAACGAGTAAAGAAAAAGGTGCGTTACTCACGTGCGACATGAGGAAGCTGACGGCAGTGATTTCTGTGTAGATAGTACTAGCGAACGTACTAGTTAATGAGTAAAGAATAAGGAGCGCTACTGACGTGTGGCATAAGGAAGCTGACGGCGGTGATGTCGGCGTAGGTGGCGGGCAGCGCGCGTGCGGCCAGGCGGCGCAGCATCTCGCGTGCGCCGCCCACGCGCGCACCCACCACCACCGTGCGGAACCGCACGCCGCTCTCCCACGCCTCGCACAGGATACGCTCGATCAGCGACGAGCTGCGCACCGTAGCAATACCGTTACCATTACAGCCTATTGAAGTCCATTGGTTTGCCGCCACCATATGGGGGAATATTTGCCATAGTTGACACGCCTGGCAAGCGAGTTAGTAACACAACCAATCTCCTGATTTAATTCCCTCCGTCGTCTCTTACAACACCCACGAGATGATATGGGGTAGTGGATATTCTTTCACCGCCATACACGATGATAATGTGCATATATATCCTAAGTACTAGAACAGACGTCGCGAACAAAATCCGTCCATTGGTGCGGTACGCATGGAAGAAGGCACAGAGTGGTAGTGGGTGGCAAACAACCACTTCTCAGCGTCTCCTCTAGTACGCAGTACTTATTACTCTGAAATATACGGTTACCAGGTCAAAAAAGTGAAAAGTAACGAAAAGGCTTATATTGTCATATATTTACAACTACTAAACTATTAGTATAAAAGTACTACTAAGTACTAAAACTGCCTCGTTGGTCTAGTGGTTGTAGTGCAACTGCTGATTCGAACCCAGGACGGATTCGAATCCCGGGTCGGGCCAAAAATCAATTATTGAGTTTTTCCGTCAAGAAATTCTCAGTAGCTGTCCGGAGTCAGGAAGTTGGCGGTGTCTCACCCCCGTGCCTCGGAAAGCACGTAAAGCCGTTGGTCCTGCGCCTGATCTCTCTCCCGGTCGTGTCGGTTTACCGTCCCATCGGATTACGAGAGTGAGGGAATAGAGTGCACCTGTGCTTGCGCATACACTTGGGCACTATAATTATGTCTGGAGGACATTAGTATAAAAGTAGCGTCTTCCTGACAACTAAAAAATAAAAAACTGCGATTGCCAACCCACCGGTATAGCTTGGCAACCCACCGGTATAGCTTGGCAGCTATGACAATTATCTCCCCCTTGTGAGGCAACCCTTGAAGGAAGCCTATAATTAAGCAATGGACTTTTGGCAAGTACAGTGTCAGTATTAAAATTATTTGGTCAGCTGTCAATGCAAAGACTTCTAGACTGACAATTTGGAACAAAAACTGTGTCAGAGCTGGCACGGCAAATATGGCACGCAGTTGTATTTTCATTTGCGACAGTTACTGTTTTTAGGCAAATACGAAATTAAGTTACATAATTATCTGAATCAAACTTCAATTCACATTTTTCTTAGTCAGTGTTAAATTGTCGAAAACAACGTATATTAAATTAAAAAAAAAAACATATGTATGTTATATATAATATTGCATTTACACCTTTAAAAATGTCATAACGAAATTACGAAGGATATTTGCAGATTACTTATCGCCATCTCCAGGCAGGGGAATCTCATTTTGAAGTTGTTGTAAATAGTCGCGTTTAAAAAATGAAACTTTAATTGAAAGAAATTTATAAATTTGAAGATGATCTGTGACAAAAAATTAAATAAAAAAGTAAAAGCTGACTTCTATGCTTAAAAGAATAAAATAATTTCCATATGACAGATTTACAAGTCGGTGCTAGACCACTACTAAAGAATAATCTATTTAATACAAAAAAAATTATTCAAACATTTTGGCGAAGATATCGCGTTTGTAAAATAAAAAAATTGTAGAACCGACTTCAATATAAAAAAATTAAAAAATCATTAATGTAGTTGAAGTCAATTAAATACTCATTAAGAATAACTCAAAAACTACTGGTCAGATCTTGATCTAATGTATATTTGACCACGTGAAAAGCACCAGCAAGAATCATTAAAATCGGTTGACCTAGAAAAAAGTTCTAAGGTAACACACATAAAAACAAACAGTCGAGTTGAGAACCTCCTCCTTTTTTGAAGTCGGTTGAAAAATTTAAAAATAAGAACATACCATCGAATTGATAACCTCTTCTTCTTTAAAGTTGGCTCAAAAACATTGCTTTAAATATTAAAAGCCAGTACATAAGTAATTGAATACTTTGTTTACACAGTACAATAAGTAATACTATTTTAGTTTATTTTATTACATACCATCCATATGTTAAAATGTTGTCCCCATTAGATATTTTGTATCGCACTGCTATACTGATCGCTTCACCCGCCATATCTATTTGTTCTCTGATATACCGATCAATCTCTTCCTGAAGGGTCTTCTTAGCCTATTAAGTATGAAATAGTAAATGAAAACTGGACAGTAGGGATTTTTATATATTAGTTATACATAGCAAGATTCTGTAAATAATGGTTTAAGAATTTAATTCTCAAAAGAATTACAATAGAATTCAATTGAAGAGAAACAAAAACTTAAAACAGTAAGTACATACACACAACGATAAATATTATATATTAGAATTACAAATTTTAACATCTAGTTAAAAAAAAACTAAAACTGTGCAATGGAATTAGAGAACAGTTTGCCTGGAACAGACAAAGTGAGCGTGCTAAGCTTTCATTTAATGTGAAGTTACATATTTATAACAAATTAAAAATGAAGAATGCATAATTATTATAGACATGGTGCCTTCATTTTTTAATATAAGAATTATTTACATCTCATGGACTCTAGCAACCTGGTTTGCCCCTTGAGAAATAAGGTGAAATGCCTTACAGTACGTGTAATTATACTAGCTCTGTTACGTTATCCTTCAAATTGGAATGAAACAATGCACACTGCTGATTACAGATATAAATTAAAAATCTCCCTTATCCGGCTAATTACAGACGGTAGCTCAACTGGCAACACCTTAAATAGCAACCTGCCTGATACAACAAACTATTCTTCAACTCATAATAGGTAACTAATAAGTATAGTTAGAAATAAATTTTAACATATGCTTCCATTGGAAATTTCCTCTACAAGACCTAACACAAAATGACTGATCAACACTCACATCAAATTCATCGACATTATTGGGCAGTTGCGTTAATTGGCGCCGGAAATGTTTCACTGCATTTGTTTGCGATGCGGATGGCTGCCTCATTGCCCACAGGAATTCTAAACTAGCCGCCAGATGAGATTCCAACCCTCGGGCGAACTCTGTCTTGGCTGGCAGGCTATAGTCTCTAACCATCTGTTGGACAATAAGTTAATTAACATTTTTTTTTATTAATAATGGTGACAAACAAGCACACAGTTCATCTGATGGTCACTTACGATGCTGTGACCCATAGACATCTATCTACATCTATCCCAGATTAAAAATCAAAATGCAGATGCATTCTCAGCCCTGAGGACTATACTCAATACTCAATATTTATGTTCATTCCATAATGTACAAATTAATAAATATTAAATTATCACAATTTGGACCTTGTCGGGTATAGCAAAAAATAGAGCACGCAAAAACGTTTTATTATTCATCACCACTATTATATCATAATTATTATTATTATGACATTTGTCATTCAGGTATTCATATAGAGTGTAATAACATTTATTAATTAGAAAAACTTATGTTTTATAAAAATATTATTACTTGTTTCATTTTTTAATGAGTTTTGCAGTTTATTATAGACATTTATGGACATTACGTAAGTGCCTAGCTTGATTATGGAGGTTGGCAGCAATAATCTATTTTCATCTCGAAAACTGTATTATTTTTAGTTTTTCTTTTTACTTAGAAATTTAGGACAAATTAAGGTAAGAAGATTAAGTTTTTTAAAATGCGGTCGACAACTTTCAGTTTTTTTATGTTACACATAACGCGAATAAGTTTTTTCTGTAAGATGAAGATGGTGGGTGCATCTATACTGTTACCGCACAGGATAATGCCATACCTTAGCCACGGTACAGTAATTAAGGCAGTCTGGAGGTCAGTTGTCTTTTTTATTTCACTTAGGGCATATACAAAGCCAGACAATTTGTTTGGAATTTTTTGAATGTGGAATTTCCAGTTAATGTGGCTGTCTAAAACCAAGCCGAGTAGAGTGTGTTCATTTATTGACCCAATTTTCGTTCTCTATCTTGTAAGTATGATTTGAACCATTCCAAATTAATCCTACGAACACCTAATAATTTATTACGTGATATATTATATTGTACCCTATCATATGCTTTGGTCATATCTAATAATATTCCTATTGCATATTCTTTATTATTTAATATCTTGAATATACTCATGTATATATTATTACTAAATGTTTTAAGACGGTTTTCGTAACTAAGATGGATCGTCTCATTTCCAGTAAAAACATACAAAACACAGCAGCATGTTGCTATTTTACGCTGGTGTTCTGTGAGCTAGTATGCTGCAGTGTGGCTGTACCACGTAGAAATTAACTAAATCGTCTCTCCATAACCAATTCTCTATTTATTTTTTATAAAGTGTTTTATAAAGACTATTAAAAGTCCATTGCTGAACAAAGGCTTCCCACTTAGATATATTATAGGGGGAGGATATATATGTTATTGAGGGCCTAATAGGGGGATATTTTCTATAGTTGCCACACTTGGCAAGCGTGTTTTGGACTGTTTTCAGGAAGATGCAACTGTTCATCTTTTGTTTCACTCTTCCTCTGTTGACTCTTACAACACCCACAGGATAATCATATTGGTTAGTGGATTCTCTAATACCACCACTACGTGGCGTTATGTACACCTGAGAATGAGACATGTATGGGCAAATCTTCGAAGTAATATCAGCTGGTGTAATCTTTGAAATCCATCCGCATCAGGCCATCCTCCAGCAATGGATTTAACAAAGACAACACAAACATTTATTGACACTCATCAGCGAGTAATGTACATTACATAATTGGATATATTTTATACATACTTCTTGAGATAGTTTTCAATGCAACACACCAAATACAAATATTACTTGATATTGTTATAGTTGTGATTGAAGAGGAATATTGTAGACTATTCTGATATGTGGTTTCCCACCTTTATAATGTCGAACATTGTTTAACTCCATAAAAATGCTTAGGAACTCATAACACACGACATTATTTTTTTTAATTTTCTCATCATAAATTAGAGATTTGTATAGAAAGAATATATTCCTCACATTGGGTGCGTTTGGCAGAAAAAAGCGCTAGCAAGCGCTTATAAGCGCTGAAATAGTTTTCGGCCAGGACACGATTGCTACTTCAGTAGCGCTGACACAATCCGTCATTTTACTTATTTAATTTGTTTGTTTTGAAGTAGAGTTTATAAATTGTTTTGTGCAATATTAGTTTTAAGTAATATAATGACATGAATAAACATATATATGTTATTAAAAATTCATGATTGGTAAGTTTTGAATATGAATATTTTACAAACATATATTTAAATTAGGTTAGGTTCTCCAGTTAAAGTTAAAATCGTGTCCTGGAGGAAAATAGCTACTTACAATTTGACAGCGCTTACTGCTTACGATCGCCATTTTGCTTACAAGCGCTTGCTAGCGCTTTTTTCTGCCAAACGCACCCATTAAGTATATGTATTGTAATAATTTATACATGTAAAATTTTTATATTTATGCAAGCACATGTACATTGAATAGAAATTTTACAGAATTTAGTTTAATAAATTTTTTTTCAACTCCTTTTTAACGTTTCATGAGCTTTGATTTGAATAACAAGCTCAAGGTACTTTCGGTTAACTGACATAGAGAAAACAAAAACGTGTTTCTTAAGTTTAGTATAGTTACTCATTTCGTAGACGCTCAATAAAAACAAAACAAAACGCTCAATAAAAAAAAATCTTGATAAATTAAATGTAGGTTCCGCAATAAAATATTATCGTGCGCCCAGCGAAGTGAGCGGGTATCAGCTAGTATGTTTATAATTACCTTCTTGAGAGCGTCTAAAAGTGCAATACACCTAGCATTTGATCCAGTCACTACTTGACATGCCAATTGTACACCTAGTTTGATAACTGCAGGATGCAAACTGAAATAATAATAATGTGTTATGTCCAATATTTAATTCACAATATTGAAAAACAGTAAAATAACTCATACTTGGAGTTGAGTGCAATCTTCTTTAGCGCCTCTTTGTCATGCCCTGTATACAAATGCTGGAACCAATTAACTCTGTGCATACTTTGAGTTTTTGGCTTAGGTTTTTCTACTGACTTTGGTTTTGGAGATTGTTTCTGTAAATAAATTCGTGAAATTCTATCAACAGTCCTTCTGTCAATTGTTCCACTCTCAATAGGTAAACCAGGCCTTTATTGACATATTATAATGCTACAATTGTTAGCAAACAGTTCTCTCCCTCTCCTTCAGGCAATAAATAATCCTTTTTTAATTGTGACTTTAATTTTATAACTTATAATTATTATTATTATAATACCCTCCAAACTAAATTTTTCTCATGTTAGTATTATAGTATTTTTATATTTATATTAACACCATCTAGACCAAATATCAGTCACAGTGCCCATTCGCAATACAGATTAACCATCTGCAAAGGATAGGATTATAACTCATAAGTATGTGTGCAAGAACAAGTGCACTCTCTAAGCCCTTACTCTTTTGGTCCAATTTTAGAAGAAAATAAACAACAAAGACTGTTTAGTATTGGAATGGATATTTGCAGATATTTTACAAAATTCTCTCAAATCTGTTTCTCTTTGGATTAATTTTTATCTTTATTTTTTTATTAAACTAGTGGCAAGTAAAATTACAGTCTACCTAATGGAAAGTAACCACTGGAGTCTATGGACACCTGAAGCCATCTTAATCAAAGAAAGCTTTTTTTTATAGAAAAAGGGTGACAAACGAACACACAGTCCACCTGATGGTAAGTGGATGCTGTGGATGTGAATGTTCAATTAAGAATCAAAATGCAGATGCGTTGCCAGCCCTGAGGACTGAGATGGAATGCCTCATTTCCAGTAAAAAGGGTCTCCGGTACTCTTCACTCACCATATGAAACACAGCAGCACTAAGCTGCTATTTTACTCTGATAATCTGTGTGATCCTACCCCGGTTGAGCCAACCCATTCATGCTGCAACCACAATATAGCTGCAGCAGGGCTCTACCACATACAAAACTAACAATATATTGTTACTCTTGAAGGACAAGATGTAATGCATCACAGCCCACAACTACAATGGGTCTCTACACCCTTCAGAGTATTGCAATTGCAAGTATTGCAAATTATTTTTGTTAATAATTTGCAGATAATCTCCAAAAATCCTTATAAATAGGTACATATACAAACCTGTTTCTCTTTAGATTCATTTTCATCTTTAGCTTTAGTTTTAGCACTTGATTTCTGTTGTGCTTGTTTGGCTGCCCTTTGTGCCTCTTGCTTTGCTCTCCTTTCTGCTTTCAGTTCAGCCTTACTTTTGGCAGTTTCTTCAGACTTAAAAGTAAATCCTATTTTAGTAATTATTAGTAATGTAAAAAAATTCATATTAATGTCAACTTCATAACAACCAAGCACCTTAACTTAAATGAAATGTTCAATTTTGGACATAAAAAATATGATGCCAACAATATACTTATCCTAGAAAATTATCCTTAATTTTAGTGTTAGCTGAGATTGAGACGCAGTAAATACATTAATTTAGATGTTAGTTTTATCTTTTGCAATAATATTGGAGGAAAGGTATAATACTGTAACATACAATACCTAAAATTGTATATTGCAAGTATTAGAATAAACTTACAAGTCCAGATAAACATGTAAGAAAACATGTTAGCTTCTAGGTCATATAGTTGTCATTCAGTAGGCAGCCATAATTTATCTAAATATGAATACAACCAATTGTCTTCTTTGAATTTTTTCAATTTGGTTTTTAAACTTTATGCACATCTATTTGGCACAACCCTAACACACCTTTGAATACAAAAGTGTATGCTGTAATTCAAATACTTCAAGTCCAGATTAACACTATAAAACTAGTTAGCCGCTAGGCTATGTAGTTGTCAATCACTAGGCAACTCTATTTTATATAAATATGATTAAAAATAAAAACTTCCTACTGTTGATCCTTCAATGTTTTTAAACACAACATATATATGTATTTAAATTCAAATATTACCTTCTTTCCTCCAAAATCAATTGCTTTAACTTTATCTGTAATTGCTTGAACTTCTTTCGATACATTCACAATATCTTTTAATGTTTCTACTACATCTCTGACTGTTAGTTCTTTTTCTGTAGCTGTATCAATAATCTTATTTTTATTGTCACTTACTTTAGATTCTTCAACATTACTACTTTCAATTTTTATAGGCACAATGTTAATATCAGTAGATTTTTTACTACTCTCAATAGGTCCCTCACAATCAACTATTTTCTTCTTTGCTTGTTTGGCAGCCTTTTTTGCAATTCTTTCAGCTTTAATTTGTTCTTTGGTTTTTTCAACAGTTTTTAATGTACATGAACTCTCTGTTGTGTTTTCCTTACTTTTAGAATCAATTTGTATTACACTTACATCCTCTGTTTTATATTCTTTTGTGACTTTTTCTGTTTCTATTTTATTTTCTTCTTTAATAGCCCTGTCTACCTCATCTTTTCCTTTGAGTGAAGTATTTGTTAATTTCTCATCTTTTTTGTTATCCTCTTCAACAGATTTCGTTTTTAATGAGGTATTTGTATTTAGTTTTTCAGTACCTTGATCAGATTCATCTACATGGTTTTTATTTAGTAATACATCATTTTGTACACTTTGTATTTGTGAATCAGGTAAAATGATTTTCTCCGCTTGTGGGGTTTCACACTTTTTCTTTGCTTTTTGTTTACTTAATTTCTTTTCTTCTCTAGCAGCCAGTACATCCTCTCTTGATTTTGAAAAATCTTTAGATGACATTTCTTTTTCTAAATTACTAATAAAACTATCTACATGTGAAAAATATGCTATATTTTTGCTAACATTACTTTCTCCATTCACAACAACACTATAAAATTCTTCTCTTACACTTCTCAGAGGTACAGTTGGTACTTCTTTTGGTACATTGAAGTCTGGTGGCTGAACTATTTTTGCATTACTTATGGTCCTACTTCTTATTACATGTGCATTCCTTGCAGCCCAAAGCTTTTTTCGCCTTAATCTTCTCTTCTTTGAAGAGCTCAAATTGGACTTTTGCTCCTCTTCTTCTTTTAAATCTAAGTCCTATAACAGATCAATCATGATTATAAATAAGTGAGTATTCATAATTCGACTGATATTTTTACATGGGTAAGTACAGTTTATTAAATTTTGCTAGTTTATGGATAGTTAAATTATAATACTATACACTACAATTCTGCACAGCTGCGGACCCAAGTCTAGTTAATTAAACAAATAAGGAGATCATCTGTACAAAACCTACAATTCATTTGGTTCAAATTTTTAGAAATGAATAATCTTATTTTAGTGTAGTATTATTAGAATATGTTGCGAAATATTAGAAATAGTAACTTTTTTATTCAATGTAGATCATAAACAATACTTATTGAAAGTCAATTTATAAATATTGTACTGTGCAAACTCCCCCCCCCCCCTCCCTTCTTCGACTTAAACCATAAAATGATATTGTAAGTTTTGTACATTTTTACCCAAACAAAGTTATAAAACTAGTGGCAAGTAAAATTGAAAAACTGATTTTAAATTTATATAAAGTGACGTCACATATTCCATAACCTCTTTCATGCTTGTTTCACATATTTAATATCAAAAAATTCTAGAAATACCTTAAACAAAACCATAGCTGCTTATCCTTCGTAAGCTAAATAATTTAAAGAGAAATGATAAATAAATAAATTTTCATAAAAATAACTAAACTGCAACAGAATTGACAACATACCTTTATATTTTTTTAATTATTATTCTTCAAGATTGAAGGTAGGTACTTCAAGTATTTTGAGGTGTACTAAGCAAATTGCAAAATCTAGTTTTTGTAGTCGTAAGTTTTTAAAGTACTGCCTGATTTTGTAGAAATATTACAATAAAGTATACATATGAAATTAGGTCTTACATCAGGAAGTTAAATAAGTTCATTAGGGGTGAGCTGGAGATGAAACGATACATCGATTTTTCCAAAGATCGGATATCGTTCATAAGCATTGATGTTGAAACCCAAAACATTGATAAAATATCGTTTTTCATGAACGATGTTTTAGTTTGCCGTCAAAAACTGAGAGCCACGAGCATTCTAAAATTCGAAAAAACCAACTATTCGAATGTACGAAATTCCGTATGCTAAGCATTGTGAACAATGATTATCACTAATTTTATGTTGCTAAGAAATAAGTGTTCGGTAAAAACAAAAGTGTAAAAATAAATAATGTAAAACTACCTAAAATAACATAAATATAATGTTTGATTATTATACCTACTTCTTTGATTCAATTCTGTGCCAAATGATCATTCATTCGATATATATACATATATATATATACATATATATATATTTTAAATGGTGATAAAAACATCGAGAAAATTTCGATATATCATTTATAAACGTCGATGTTTCTTAAAACCGTTCTCTTTTAAGAATATCAATGTTAGAACATTGTTCATAAAACATCGATATTAGAATATCGATGTTTTATGAACGATGTTGCATCCTCAACGTCAACAAGTATGTACGTAGAAGTAAGGAGTACCAACTCCCATAGTAGAACTGTTGAAAAAGTGGCCATCTGTAAGCAGTAAATAACAGCTCAAAAACTCTCCACAACAGCGCTGGAGTAGCTACTGGGATGAAATGAACTTAGCAGTTGTCGAAGGTTTAAGTGTGGTGCTAAACTGCTCAGTGGCACTAAAATCTGAAATATTTTATTTAGTAAATATAACGTCGTAAAAGTCGTCTATCCCACTAATAATTTTCGGTGCGTTCTTTAAAATTTACCCCGTAGTTATAGTGGCGCCACCCTTATTTAATGGTTTTATGGACACTTTTTAATACACAATCTGTACTCCTTACTTCTACACGTAGACAGAGAATCCTAGCATTCTCTGTCCACGCTTCTACACTCCATAGTCAACACTCAACAACAAAGTAAAACGTCAAACGTCATCGCCTCTTCTCTTGTGTAGTGTGTGTAGCGTAGACAGAGAATTCTCTGTCTACGGTGTGCCTTGTAGCCATGGAGGTTAGAGAACAGGAGAACGATCTCTACGTGCTAACGCATAGCCCGCCCGTCCCTGAAAATTTGTGGAATTTTCGGGTATACAAAAAAATACTCTGTGGAATTTATAGCCGCTGCCGTCGATAAGTAGTGCTGTGAAGTAATTTTTTAATTTTGGACAAAAAGAAACATTAAAAATGGTAAAATATTATAAAAATAATAATAATAATAATAATAATAATCTCTCTCTCTCTCTCTCTAGGCGTTGGGATGTGACGACCCCACCGCCCAGTAGTGAAAGTCATTCTTCTTTATTCTTTAAAGCATTATTGATTTTCACTTCTGCAATCAGTCTGTACCCTCCGCTGAAGAATGTTGTACCGTGTTCGGGTCGGCAGTTAAGCTTAGGTACTAAAAAATTAAGCTTTGTAGACCAACGGTGTCCTCGGGGAATTGGGCGCTCCCCGTTGTATTAGCCTAACCATATATGGAGAATGGATCACGGAAATAAGCGATCAAAGCCGCTACACGGGGGTCGCCGGAGCACGTCTGGAGCTGGCGCTGGACGTGGCAGCATGCGAACCGTCAGTGGCCGTCAGTTACATCAGCAGGCTGCGGTCAATCAAAATACTACTGCTAACATCCTTGACCCCCTCCCCCTCCCAACAATCCTTCATCCCCTCTCAGTCTTCCCCCCGCCTTAAGTGCTTCTAGTGGCTCACAACCCATGACCACTAAGGCGGATTTCCCTCGACAGCGTTTGACGTGGAATGTACAAATGAATGAAGATGTCATGCGCTATTACTATAAAGCAACCAGATTGGAAGAACATCTGATAGGACATAAGGCCGAGATGTATCGACTATTTGTTCTGAAATATCCGGAACTCCGTGAAAGAGTGACAGAACAAAGAGTCATGGACCAGACACATCAGATTCTATGTACCTGCAAGATTGTGACGGAAAGGCTGGAGCAACTCAAAGCAAAAGTTGCTAAAGAGCTTTATCCTGGTCGCGATGTATCTGAAAATATTAGTGTCCAAGAGGCTACCGTAGATGCTTCATCAGAAATTATTCCGGATTCACTTACTGAACTAAGCACCGCACCTTACGAAGAACGAAGGGAAAAAATGGTAGAGAATGAAACCTTAGGAATCCTTAAAGAAGAATTTGAAAAAGCCTTAATTGCGTTTTTGGGTACTAACCCCTTATTACGACCTACCATTGGGCGCCAAATTAATTCAAAAAAGTTGGCAGTCGCGGTCAATTTGATGAACACTATCATAATTCCTGAACATCTAGCGCAAGTTGAAAATACATTTGACGCAATTCATACGACCACCTATGCGGCAGGTGTAGCGATAGTCCGATCAATTGGCGGGAAAATTGGTGATTCTACAGTGCGGGTTTCTACTCAAAGGAAAACCCCTGCTTGGGAGCGCCGTCTTACCCATGAAGTAGACACACTTCGTCGCCAATTAGGCCGCCTAACGCAGTATATGCGTGGCAATAGAACTAAAAAAGTTGTAGCCACATATTATGAGCTTCAGAAGGATATATCTAAGCACACGAAGTATGACCCACCAAACAGAACACCTGTAGACATCTTAGATACTCTTCGACAAAAACTAGCAGTGAAATCCAACCGACTAAAAAGGTACCGAAAATCGCGGAAGAGAAGAGAAGACAACGCTCTTTTCACAAAAAACGAAAAGCTGTTCTATCGGCGAATCCAACAGAGCGTTAATGATACGAGTGGATTTCCCCCGCGACGGAGGAAGTTGAGAAATTCTGGCGTAGCATCTGGTCAGAGAAGGTGAGCCACAATAAAACCGCAACATGGATCACAAGAGAAGAACAGCGTATGCTTGAGGTCCCAGAAATGCCACATGTGGAAATTACAGATGAGGATGTCACTCAAGCGGTGTACAAATCCGCCAACTGGAAAGCCACGGGACCCGATAAGATCCACAATTTTTGGTTTAAGAAGCTCACTGTTCTACACAAACCAATGGCGGCGTGCTTCACTTCCTTCCTACGCGACCCCCAACTAGTGCCTTCCTATCTAACCGTTGGAATAACATATCTACTTCCCAAAGATGCAAATACACAGGACCCTGCGAAATACCGTCCGATCACATGCCTCAGCACTTTTTATAAAACATAGACCTCTTGCCTCTCTAACAAGATCTACCAACATCTAGAACATCACTCTCTTCTGGCAACAGAGCAGAAAGGGTGCATTAAGAGATCATTGGGATGCAAAGAACAACTCACGACTCACGATTCAGTTATCACAGGGCAAGCGTATCAAAAGTCGCGGAAACTCCACATGGCTTACATTGATCACAGGAAAGCTTTCGACTCCGTGCCGCATACCTGGTTGAGGGAGGTACTCAAACTTTATAAGATCGACCCTGAAGTTATCACTTTATTAGAATATTTTACGACAAATTGGGCAACTTCTCTTCATCTGAACCATGGCGTTAACCAGAAGATCACAACAGGGTACATACCGATACGAAGAGGAATCTTTCAAGGAGACAGCCTTAGCCCCTTATGCTTCTGCCTCGCGCTCAACCCCCTCTCTTCACTCCTTAATGAAACAGGACATGGATATCTTATAAAAGGGGCTCAAGGATATCGGCGAAAGTTGACTCACCTAATGTATATGGACGACATTAAGATCTATGCGGCAAATGAACGAGAGCTCCAAACGCTGCTTCACTGCACTGAACAGTTCTCTAGTGACATTAATATGTCATTTGGACTTGAAAAATGCAGAACCGTAAATGTTTACCGTAGACGAATTGAGTCATCTAGAGGTTTCGACCTTCAGAGAGGTGGAAAGATCGACGCGATGACAGAAAATAACATCTATAAATATCTAGGCATCATCCAATCACTTCGAATCAATCACGGTGAAATTAGGTCGAAGATGACTGAAGTATACAATCAAAGGCTTAAAATAATCCTCAGTTCAGGCCTAAATGGACGGAACCTCACTAAAGCAATTAACACCTTTGGAACCCCAGTATTAACTTACACTTTTGGAGTGGTTAACTGGTCAGATACTGAATTGGCAAAAATTGAGAGGTCTACTCGCGTCATGCTTACTAAATATCTTATACATCACCCAAAATCAGCCGTTGAGCGGGTAACTCTATCTCGAGCCAATGGCTGTAGAGGACTGATAGATATTCGTAGATTGTGTGCTAAACAGATTCAGAGTCTTCGAAGTTATTTCCTTTCGCAAACGTCCTCTCTCCTGCATCAAGCAGTAATAAAGGCTTATGACCGTCTAACAACGCTCGATCTCCTTCATGCCGACAATTTCCGACCGTTAGAGACTGACGCTGAAAACAAAGAAGCCAAACTCCAGCAATGGGCCTCAAAACCTCTTCACGATCGATTCGCTAATGAACTGAGTCAACCACATGTCGACATTGAAGCGTCGAACAACTGGCTCAGACATGGTGAGATCTTTGCTGAAACTGAGGGATTCATGGTGGCGATTCGGGATCAGGTTGTGCCTACCAAAAATTATCTTAAGTACATTGTCAAGACAGGTATCGAAGATGACCAGTGCCGACGGTGTCATCAAAAGCCAGAGACCATCCAGCACATAACTGGCGGCTGCCAGGCTCTTGCACCCAGCGCCATGACAACGTGGCAAAAATTGTGCACCAAGAGCTGGCAGTAAACTACGGTCTCCTTAAGGAGGCAGAACCCTACTGGAAATACAATCCATCCCCGGTACTCGAGAATGATTTTGCCCAACTTTATTGGGACAGGTCAGTTTTAACTGACCGGACCGTTGAACATAATCGACCGGACATAATATTGGTAGAAAAGGAGGAGAAGCGGACGTGGTTGTTGGATATTGGTATTCCAAACTCGCATAATGTACAGAAGTACAGCACTGAAAAGTTGATTAAGTACCAGCGGTTAGCTGAAGAAATCCGACAGTTAAGGCGACAGCAGCAGGTACTTATCGTCCCGCTGATTCTCTCTACCACGGGAGTTGTTCCTAAATCCCTTACTGACAATTTAGCTAAGCTGGGCATTTCAGTGAGGGTGAGGAACAAAATTCAAAAAGCCGTAATTTTGGATACGACAGCGATAGTACGTTGCCACCTCACAATTTAAACAAAAGAGCGGCATCTTGCGATCAGCCGATGCCGCATCTTAAAACCCTAAAAGGAGCGTTAAGGGAGATCGATAATAATAAAAATCTCAAATGCAGAAGGCGGTGCTCCTCGATACCGCCTGCATCGTCCGCCGGTTTCTCTCCCTTTCCCCCTAACCCTCGGCCGTTTGGTATCCCCTGCCGAGGGCCTCCATCTGGTTGAGCTTTTATTTATTTATGTATTATTTATTTGTTTGTGCTGGTATATGAAATATATATTTATGTATATTTATCATTTCCTTTTATATATTTATTCAGCCAAACCAGATGAGAATACACTACTAATACCCCATAATAAAAAATCAATAATAATTTATATTTGTAATAATTTATAATAATTAAAATGATTGAGACTACTAGGAACTAAAAGACTACAAAGTTGTCTCAATAAAAGCGGGCTGTTGTGCGCTAGTTTGTAATGATTATAATTTCATTCAAAGAAAAAAAAAGAAAATAACGAAATGATTATTATTTATTATTATATATTAATAAATAAATTATAAATTATGTTTTTTATAATTTTAATTATTATGAATATTATAAATTATTACAAATAAAAATTATTAATTATTATTGATTTATTATTATTTTATAATATTTCACCATTTTTTAATGTTTCTTTTTGTCAATAATAAAAAAATTACTTTGCAGATTCTAGTTACCGACGGCAGCGCGGCAATAAATTCTACAGACTTTCAGAGAAAGGCGGGCTATGCTTTAGCACGTAGCGATCGTTCTCCTGTTCTCTAATCTGTTATGCGCTAGTTTGAAATGATGATATCACTAAAAGAAAAAAAAGGAAAATAACGAAATTATTATTATTATGGGGTATTAATAGTGTATTCTCATTGTTGTGCTGAATAAATATATAAAAGAAAATGATAATTATACATAAATATATATTTCATATACTAACTTAAATAAATAAATAATACAAAAATAAATAAAAGCCCAACTAGATGGAGGTCCTCGCCAGGGGAGACTAAATGGCCAAGGGTTAGGGGGAAAGGGAAAGAAACCGGCGGACGATGCGAGCGGTATCGAGGAGCACCGCCTTCTGCATTTGAGCTTGGAGTGGTCCGTCACGGAGTCCCAGCCGCCTTAGATGACCCGAGAGGCTTACAGGGATCAGCCCGTTTACAGAAACGACTACAGAAATAATTTAAATCGGCAGACCACCCCACATGCCAGGTCTAGATATTTTGTTTGCTTATCTGTTTCGGCTTTCATGAGGTTCTCATCATACAGAATGGTAATGTCGACCAAATATATCCTTGACTGTGCGCAGTCCATCAGTACAATATCAGGCTTATTCGCAAGAATAGTCCTGTCTGTGATGATGGCCCGGTCCCAATAGAGCCTGGCGCGGTCATTTTCGAGCACGGCTTCCGACAAGTACTTGTAATACGGCAATTTCCGGTCCACGAGACCGTATTTCAAAACAAGCTCCTGGTGAAGAATTCTGGCTACTTGGTTGTGCCTGTGCAAGTGCTTAGAGTTAGAAAGCGCTGAACAACCGGAGATGATATGCCTAAGTGACTCACCGGGATGGGGACAGACAAGCTCGACAGATGTCGACGGTGCCATCCTTTAGGATATATCTCCGATATTTGTTGGTCTTAATAACCTGATCCTGTATTGCACAGACAAAACCCTCGGTTACCCCAAAGAGGTCACCAAAGCGTAGCCAGTAGAGGGAGGCTACTGTGTCTAAGAAAGGGTCATGTAGAGCCTTATAGAACCTCCCGTTGAGTTCCTTCTCCTTGCATACGGTCTCTAGGTTGGAAATGCTCTGCTCTGCCGGGTCTATCCATTGCTCGTTGGCTAAGGATAGAGGGGTAAGTCCTTTACTACAAGAAATGAAGTCCTTATAGAATGAATCATCTGATCTCGCCAGGAAGTAAATACGGAGGCTGCACACTTCGCGATTATGCATGGTGAGCGCCCTCAAAAGGCCACACCTGCTTTTGCGACAAGTACAGCCTCATTACCGATGATCTCGGATGATGCATTCTATGGGACGTCATAGTAGTGTGGACTTTTCTATCCAGGGCGTGAAGCTCAGTTTGAGTCCACCTGGGTATGCCAAAAGTATACATGAGGACAGGCATGACGCAAACGTTATATGCGTGTGTCTTATTCACACCACAAAAAGGCTGTTAAACACTTTGGTCAAGCGTGCATAAAACACGTCGCAATCTGACTGCCTCATACCAGCCTCATCGATACTGATGTTCTATGACATACCTAGGTATCGGTATGTTTCAGTCTCGGAAAGGGTCCTTAAGTTGACTCAGAGTTAGCAACCCTTCCCCTTTCAACATGGAGGACCGCACACTTATCCGTTGCCAGCTCCATTCTAATAGAATTGCTAAAATCACAAGTGATGTTTAGCAATTCCACAAGATGGGAGGGAGGGGTCATCCATATAAAAAGTATGTGGCTCTTGAGGTCATCCATATAAAAAGTGTGGGTCACTTTTGTACCTCCGACAGTTGTGACCGACAAATTCAAGAAGCTCTTAACCAGAAGTCGCTCCCGAGCCTCTTCACTACCGGGATCACTCATTTGGTTCCTAAAGACTTCGGTAACACAGACCCGAGCAAACACCGCCCCATCACGTGTCTACCAACCTTATACAAGGCACTACATCCATTTTGAGCGCGAGAATCACTCGTCACCTGGACTCAAATCAGGTGATGCCGCGCTCAAAATGGATGTCGAGGCGGTGGTCGTGGAACCAAGGAACCACTTCTCACTGACGCGGTCATTAGCAAAGTGACGAAACGCAACCGTCGGAACTTCTCCGCTACCTGGATAGACTACAGCGCTCGCTGAGATTGAGAGATGTTGTTATTATTATTATTTTATTTATAATATTTCACCACTTTTAATATTTCTTTATGTCAAAAATTAAAAAAATTGCTTAGCAGAAACTACTTACCGACGGCAGCGCGGCTATAAATTCTACAAATTTTCAGGGACAGGCGTCGGTAGTCAGACAGTCTACGGTAGTATCGCTTGGCATAGACCATGAAGGTTAGAGACTTCATGGCGTAGACTAATATATAGCGCAGATTAATAAATATGTATGTACACCTGACCTCCATGGTATACAGAATTCACTTGGATTTTTTTGAGTTTTTAAGCTATTGCATTTGCATTGCATTGCAAGCATAGCTTCTATCGCGGGCATTGAGTGCGGGAAAATCCAGAAATTTCGTAACGAAAAAAACCTCACGCTCTCCGACGGGCACGGAGGTGTGGCTTGAAGGCCGTGCATTGTCTAACGATGGTCTAACGTCGTTTCTTTTCCTCAGTCTTCGACACGGTGTTTATGTATAAAGTGTTTTGAAATTTTGAATATGAATGAACAAAGTGCATTTATTATTAAGGCTGCTCTCTCGCAAAAAGCTTGAAAAAAGCGTGCAGATGAACCAACTTTTCGTCGACACTTACAGAGAAATTACATATGAAAAAAATAGCTAGTAATCTACATGATCTGATACGTAATTTGGTTTAGCCATAATTTTTCTATCGGTGTCACATAATAAATAAAAAAATACCCAAATCACCTCCAAATCGTTGAGATGAAACCACTTTACTCCTTCATTGTTTATCAAAGGAATATAAAAAAAATATATACTAATACTATCTACTGCTTTGCAATACAAAATAAAAAAATTTGGTTTGGTTACTTTTTAGAAATATGTATTATTTTTATGATAATAAATAAAAAATGCGTCCCGATTAAATTATGTGTCTATATCACCCCCGCATTCGTCCACGAATTCAGTGCGGGGCGCATCGTGTTGCTAGGTGGACTGTATTTTAAATGTGCTATAGTTTAAATTCTCAATTTAGATTCTCAATATGTATATATGAGGGGTATAGTTTCAAAAACCGCATAGTCCATTTTTTTCAAGTAGCAACATTTTTATACGTCTAGTAACTCCATATTTTATAATACAGGTTAGTGTTTAGTTGACCGATCAAAAGTAACTTTGTCCAATAGAACTTAAAGGTCAAAATATAATGGTTGAATCAAAATCATCAAAGTCCTAACCCAGTTATTTCAAAATCAGCATTGTCAATTCGGCCAATCAGATGCCACCGTGATATGTCAAAACAGTATGGCGTGAGCCGGTGTAAGAGTCGATTTGGTGAAGGTGCATATTAAATAAAAGTAAATAATTTAAATAGTAAACGTGTAAATTTTATAGTCAAAGTGCATAAATTCCAACAATGGATAAATCATCAATAGTTGTTCAACGAATTAGAGCAAGAAAAAGACTTAGTAATAAAAATAAATGGAAAAGAAATGTGGCGAAATTAGAGCGGTAAGTTAAGTTGTATTTACTGATTTTGATCCTTACAACTTATGTACCTATTTATGTTTTGTTGATGTCGGTAAAATACTGATTCTATTTGTAAGCGCTTTTACGTGATCTTTTAATAATAACAATTATAATAAATTAGTTTATATTACATGTGTATATATATTTATATTGAATATGTAGGTACTATGAATACTACAAAGACAAGCTCACGGGCGTACTTTTAACGAGATCGTCAGTGATCTTCTCTTGTAAAACGTAATACATTAAAGTATACTCAAGTTTCTTATCTGTGTGTAATTGAATAATATATGTATAATGAGGTTAACAATGTTTGTTACTATATTTTTTTATAGTTTGATGTTTTTTTTTCAGATACTCTGCAAAGAGCTTACCAGATCGTCCAAATTGTATTCACAAGAAGACATATGAATGTAATTCATTAACAATGAGTGATTTGATCGATTTTCATACATGTTTTTACAAACATAGGGATAAACGTTCGCAAGATGCATTTATTCTTAAACACATGACAATATCAAAAGTGGCAAGGTAACGGCCTAGAAAATCCAAATACGTGGGGAGGAATTCAAGTAATAAATATTATATACGTTGTTAGTCAATAAAAAAAGAAACAAAGAGTATGTCAGAACACATTTCTTGCTATACATCCGAAATTGATGCTCAAAATATGCAATCGTAATCGTAAATTCAGCAAAAGTCAAAGACGTCAATAAACTATTAACATCTCATTTTGGTGATTCCTGGAGAATATTTCCAATTTTATGCTTTTGTGACAAATTAATACCACAAAATGTAGAAGCAGATGTTGATCAACAAGAAGATGAAGAAAATATCTGCGAAGAAAATGTTGACCTACCTGATGTTCGAATTTATTTTTTTTTAAATAAAGCTATAATTAATTGTCTTCATATTATTTTTGGTCATACATTCCGTATCCACTTCATATAATATTTATATGATATTTCACTAATAAGAATATATTTTCTAGGTGCACTTTATGCATAATCTTATCGTTGACATGCATTTTTCACACAACGTATCAATTTGTGTAGTCGTACTATAGCCTAAAAGTAGCATTATCAAAGTCAGCAATGTCCATTGACATTTGTTTCAAAATTAGCAATGTCCATATGAATGATTCAAAAACCGCAAAGTCCATTATGTTTTCGTATTTTTTTCAGTTTTAGAGCTACTGTTGTGCTTATTAACAATAATTAAGAGTGGATCATTCATTATTCGATTCATAATATGTTAAAATTAAACTCGTAATGTTAAGTTTTAGGGGGAAAAAGGTTAAATCAATATTTTACTAATTAGTCAACATCGGACTTTGTTGTTTTTGAAACTATACCCCTCATATATACTCGATTAACCGGACTAATTGTTGCCGTTAGGGATTCGGATAATCGAAAATCCGGATGATCGAATGTATGAAGAAAAGCGGGTTTTGTACATTTGTAGTACATATGTACATACATAATGTTATGTGTTTATTAAAAACAACAATTTCAACGAAAATCAATGTTTATTAAGAAATTATTATTTTTTAATAAACATTGATTAAATTCCAAGAAGAGATATAAATCTATATAACCATCCGTTACTTGCGACAAACGAGCCGCCGTCGCCTAATTTTTTATTTAACTGTAATGCCATTTCACAAAGCAAAAGGCCAGATATCATTTGACCAGTTGATCGTTTTTGTAAAAACCAACAATACAAAGCGTCTTCTAATTGCCAATTTACTCGCGGACATAGGTCCTTATGTCCGGGACGGGGGTTTGTTAGCGCCTGATAGTAGATCGTCTTATCTCAAGCGGTGTGAAGCGACGATTAGTGAGGTGCGGGAGGGGGAGGCTAGCTGCATTTGTGCGCGCGGTCGGTCACCCCTGTTGGCATCGAGCCGAGCTAGGGAGCAGACGGCGGGGCCGGGCTGCACCCGGCCCGCCGCTAGGGCGCGCTCCTAGCTAGGCACACGGCGCCTGCGCCGATGACGTTCTCCGGTCGCATTATAGGGGTCGCGAGAGTTTTTGCGCGAAGCCGGGTTGTTCATATATTGAAAGTATCCTTGTTTTGTCTTAGACTTATGTTAATAGAGCGTGCCATTTGAATTTAAAGACAATTAATTGGACAATAAATAATAAATGACATATCTTGCCGTGGAGGGTGGAACTGAGTAGTTGCGCGTCTTGTTAATATAATTGCCGTACGGCCGCCCTGACGTATGTACTGCGCGAACCTGAGTTTTTTGCGACGCGGTCCGGTGATACAGTATTTTTCACAAATAGTATATCGCGGGTAATAGTTATAACGCGGGTTCAGTTAAATCTGGTTGAATTTGATTGGATTAACCTAATGACAATTGACTTAACTATAATTAATGAGTGATAAACGAGCGTAATTTCCTAGACTCTGAAGTTTCTGTGACGGCTTGCCCCTTCGATGGATCCCATACTGGAATAGAGGTGAAGCCTTGGGATCTGCTGTTCGGCAACCAGCGGGAAGTCAGGTTACATAATATAACACGTACTGAGCATAACACTATCACACACATATACTTACACCTGAATCTTCCTAGGTTTGACCCTACGTCGACGAAATAGGTAAGTCTTGTTTGGTTCCTTTTTAACCGCTATTGTCTCATATTCCACAAGCCATTTAGGCCGACCTCCTGTTACTCGTCGAGTTGAACCCCTGGTGGGCCCGGGTTCTACGACCTTTGCCCGGGTAACTAGAGGCCGTAACAATAGCAAAGTAAAAAATTAGAGATTGTGGTGTTTGAAATTTGTCATCTATGAGAGTGAATTTTATCTGTGTACTCTGTAACAAATAACTATATAGAAAAAAATGTGAAAATGACATTTCGCCATTTTTGTTTGTGTACTGGTTAGGAACTCGATCAAAAAATTTGATCATTTTTCTGTTTTTATACGTTATTTCTAAAAAAATGTGAAAATGACTATTCGCCATTTTTGTTTGTGTACTGGTTAGGAACTCGATCAAAAATTTGATAATTTCTCCGTTTTTATACGTTATTTCTAATGTTATTTTACATCAAATTAATTGTGGAGATATTTTCTTTAGGAAATATGTATCATTACGACGATTCAAAAACGTTTACATATAATAATTTACCTCGAAATTCACTATACGCGATTATCGTTTATTGATTATATGTTGTTTAAAAAGTATTCTTATCAGTTTTTTTTTGTGTTAAATGGATGCTAAATATAAAAGAATGCTTCAGTATTGATAGCAATTTATTAACGAAATATCTGTTGAGATGTGTCTAGAAATTATTAATACTTATTTTTATTTATTTATTAAAATAATAAATAAATAAAAATAAGTATACATTTATCTATATTGAGTACTAGTTATTCCCCGCGATCTCGCCCGCGTGGAATATGGATTTCATGGGTTTTAATTTTTTTGCGCGGAACCCTAATTCTTTTTCTAAAACAAAAGTAGTTCAAGTTATTCCTTATATCATCAGCTATCTGCCAGTGAAAGTCCCGTCAAAATAGATCCAGCTGCTTCGGAGATTAGCTGGAACAAACAGACAGACAGACAGACAGACCGACAGACAGACAAAAAATTTAAAAATTGTGTTTTTGTTACTAGTACTTTCATATGCATTTAATAAAAAGCTGTTGTTTTAACATTACAAACAGACACTTCAATTTTATTTATTTGTAGATATAGATATAAGATATTATTCATATTGGTGTCATTTTAAAGGGAATATCATGTACTATTATAATAATAAAATAATTGATAGGACTATGACACCACTAAGGGAAGTGAAATTTTGATATAGGTAAATTCATGTCTTTATCTTGAATTTGATTGCTCAAAAACACGATAGTATAATTTTGACTCGATCATAATTATTTGCGAAAACACCTCTAAAAAACCACTATAGTTGAAATTACAACGAAATTACTTAATCTATATGCTTCGAAATCACTCAAATATATTCATAACATTAATATTCATAATTTACTTGCTCATTATTTTGATTACTCAAATCAATAATTTTTACAAAAATATTTTAAAGTTTTAAAGTTTCTGAGAATTTCTAAGCGCTTTTAATCGTCGCGGGCGCTACGCTATTTTAGACCTTATGAGGGCGTTTTTTCAAGTTTTTATAGAAATTATGCATTCACTCGGATCAGTCCGGCGATAGCCCTTTCGAGGTGTCGTCTTAACGCAATTCCTTTGTATAGTGCGACGTTGCCACTCTTATTAGTTATTCCGCTTCGTAATATTTTATTTATAGGTGATATTTTGTTTATGTAGGTATTCGATAGATTCCTATAGTCTGTTTTTTTCGCAGGAGACAAAAATAATAGATCTTTATTAGATTCGTTTAGCCCGAATAATACAGTTTTTATGATTCTGGTTCAGATTTGTTTTCTTATCGGTCACCACGCTCAAAAAGTGTAACTTGATTTAATATCAAAGACTTAACTGCATAAATAAAATAAATAATTAATTATAATTGCATAAGTTGATAAAAAATGCTATGCAATAGCTTTACCGCGGCAGTCCCCGAGTGCCACACGTCTTTTTTTTTCTTACTTTTAATTGTTTGCCTTTTCTTCGTTACTGTTTGAACATAAAAATTCTTTTGGTTGGCCTCCCTTATTGTAAATTTTAACTTTTATCCCTTATATTAATTACTTTGTACTGATTATTATTTGTTTGATTGCTATTGATGATTGTTCGATCATAAATACAGCTTAATTGTTAATTATTCAATATTTTTAATTAAAAAAAACTGTCATCCCATTATGGCTACGTTGAGCGTAAGCAGCGTTGGGCTCACTAAACCTAGCCCCACTTGGTTTCATTTTTTATTTTAGAGTTTTTGAAACGAATCGGATAGCGGAACTCCTATTACTGGGTGGTTTATAAAAAAATAACCACGAAGGGGATAGCGGGGTCTGTTCGCTCGCTTCGTTGGCTCACTTGACCCCGCCGTCCCCTTCTAACTTAAGAATCACAGATATATAGCAAGTTAAGAACTCGTCCGAGTCGGGGTACCCCTGGCCCAGAGCGCGCTTCGCTTGCTTTTATAGTCAATTATTAACAATTAATTTGTTTTGAATAATAATCAATATCGATCGAACAAACGACATTTAGTAAAAATTAATTAATTTAAGGGATTAAACTTAAAATTTACTATAAGGTGGCCAACCTAAAGATGAAATTTGCTTAATTCTTTTTTTCTGTGAGTTTAAAAAACATTACCTTCACACTAGGATTTTCTACTGTATCTTGGGGGCACTTTACAAACATAAATTTCACAATGACATACATCTAGACCCGAAACAATTACTTGTAGGCCATACAAATACTGGTTCCGTGCGGGATTCAAACCCGCGGCCCTTAGCGTTATAGCTCACTGCTAAGCCACTGCGCCACGGAGCGGAAAGAATTATAAGTAAATATTTGATTATTATTTTTTCAAGTAGGTACCTTTATTTTTTTTGTCCTGCCCCTGTCGAGCCGACCCATTCGTGCTAC